TGATCGCGGGCGTGACCATGGGCGCCGGTGCTAATCCCTTCGGACTCCACAATTTCTACACTAAACCTCTACATCAAGTCGACCTCTGCATCATCAGCTGCGACGCCTGCTACAAGGTGAGGCGTAGAAAACGGGAAGAGAGACAGAATGCAAATCAGCGGCTCGTTTTTACCTTTTTTTTATTAATTTATGGGAAAGGCTAGATCAGTAGCAACTCGAGGTGGTTTTTGATGATTAGCCCTGTTAGTCTGGTTTGATGATTACTCGTTGAAAATATAACCATTAAAATCATTATTTCCATCCTTTTTAAAAAAACTAAAAAAAAAAACTAAAAAAAAAAAAAAAATCGACCATATTCTCAAAGCTCTAACTGTTGTGACGTCATCAAAATAAACCCCACGTGCTTTTTCCAAAAATAGAAGCAGACGCCGTGACACCTCGAATTGCTACTGATCTAGCCTTCCCCATTGATTTATCTGGTTGGTGAGTATACTGACCTAGGCTGATGGAAATTCCTGTGTTGATTAACAGATATTAAAAGGCTGAGGGAGAAAGACTGAAGATTTAAAGGTTGAGACAGAAAGATTGGAGTTTGAACTTTTATTAATTAAAATCTAATAAACATATTCACATTTACCCTTAAGCTGGCCCCTTGGCAGCCGCTCTAGCAGTCGCCGAATTTGGAAGAAATATAATTACTATTGTTTATGTAAATCGCTTTTCAGTGCCATTTTAAATACGTAAATACATTCAGATCTCAATAATTCTGATGTTTAAGGTGTGTTGGAATGTTAAATCTGTCTTATGCTTTATCACAATATTTTTGCAATATTTCACCATATGAATTGTTATACAGGGCAGAAATTATTAGTGAAATCTCCCAGACTTTATATAAAAATCTCATGTACAAAAAAACAGTAAAGTTACCCAAATGGTTATGCAGAAGTACATAGTAATTATGGCTAATTGAAGCAAAAAGAAAGAAAAAGAAAAACAAAAAAAATCCTGACG